GTACATTACAATCATCAAATTAAGTTAAATGTATACATATCTTTTGTATACATATCTGATGATTGTAATGTACAAATTAAGTTAAATGTATACATATCTTTTGTATACATATCTTACAAATTAAGTTAAATGTATACATATCTGATGATTGTAATGTTTACCATCTTTTTCATTCACTGCAACACCATCTTAATGGGAAAATGTATGAAAATGTGGAAGGTGTTAAAGAGGGCATCGACATGTTTTTTGTTTCAAAGTCAAATGATTTCTTTAATCAGGGCATAAATAACCTGATTGTAAGATGGAAAATCATCATCGATAAGAATGGAGACTGTTTCATTTAATAAATGTTTTATTTTAATATATAAGTTGTTCAGGTTTTTTCATCTTAAAAAAGTTACATTTTCTTGAAGACCTAATATAAATGGCTGAACTTAGCTGATACTCAATGTAATGTTTAGATTCACTGACAAAGTGAGGAATTGTTAAGTGAAAACATTCTCCCCCAAAAGTTTTTTTTTTCAATATAGGTGAAGTATACATAGTTTATTTGAATAAAACTGTTGCTTTTATGTGATACTCTGATATTTGGACTCTTTTGGCTATGGCAGATGACTTGTCAATCTGAGATGTGAAAGTTCATTATTGGATACTTTACTGAAAACCATGAATCGTAAATGCTTTTTAGAATCTCCATGATTTAACAAATCAACCTAATGAAGTGTCCCCTTTGTTCAAAATTAAAACAGGTTAATCATGTCATACAATCCTAACTCCAGAAGAATGTTAGCTATACAAAACTCTACCATTGTATAAATGTTATAAGAGGAACTAGTTATCTATAACATTACAGTTAAATTCAGAAATCTGGTGAAACCAATAGCCCTAATATTAATGAAATCACAGTAACACCAGAAGTTTACCTGAAATGCCATTTACAGAAATTGAATGTTTGAGTATTAGAAGAAATAATTCTGAAATGCAGTTGTTATTCAAATTCTGGAGTCCAAGCATTATTTGTATGATAAATATTGGTTTCACAGTATCATCAGCTTTTAATGTAAAATTTTATTTTAAATAGTAGGTATCAGAATATAGATCTGAAATTTTGCTTTTGTATACATATCTGATGATTGTAATATACAAATTAAGTTAAATGTATACATATCTGATGATTGTAATAGGGTTGGGAAGTTCTCCCCCACCCACCATATTCTCCAGATATGGAACCATCAGAAACTCCATAATCTTGTGTTTCATCAAACGTGCCAAATGTGGACGTGCACTGTCATGGAGAAGAAGAACACCTTTCCGACTGACAAGTGAAGGAGTTTCTGATGAAGGTCTTGATTTAAACATTCCAGTTGCTGACTGCAGATCTTTGCATTGATAGTTCACTGGGGATTGACAAGTTCAAAATGAATTACTCCTTTGATGTCCCACCAAATGCAATGCATCACTTTTTGCGGATGGAGTCCAGGTTTTGGGGTCAGAAGTGGTATTTGTCTAGGACTGAACCATTGTTTTTGGTGTTTAATATTCACATAGAGAATCCATTTTCATCACCGGTGACAATTCTGTCCAAAAATGGCTCACGTGCATTACGTGCCAGAAGAAACGAAGCAACATTCACAAATTGGAAACGATAATCATCGAAGAGTTCATGAGGCAACCACACACCTTATTTAAGGAGTTTTCCCATAATCCTTAGATATTTACTTATTGTTTCATGAGAGACATGTACTTTCAGGGCCATTTCACAAGTGTGTTACCTTGGGTTAGACTCAACAAGCATCTTCAGAGCATCAAT